ATTTAATTTATATTTTAAAAATAGAGGGTATTATAATATTTTTTTAATAAAAATTTATTAAAATAATATAAATTTAAAATAATTTTTCTTTTAATTTTTAAAAAATAAAGTAAATGAGTATTATTCTCCTATCATAATTCAGACATTTGATTTTTTTTTATTAACAAAACATTTATTTATTTTTTGTTTGGTAGTGATAGTGTAATTACACCAACTTATGTGTACCTTAAAATTAATTTTTTTAATTCAATAATGCTTATATTAAAAAATATATGAAGACTTAATTCTTTATTAGCCTTTTAAAGAATCTAACTTTAATAAACTAAGTAAGAAATAAACATTCTTACCATTTAAGCTACATGCCCCTTAGCATGACATTTGTAAAATAAATAAAACCTAAAATGTACTGGAAAATGCTAGAAGTGAGGTTCAAAGGCCGCTCAGCTTGTTGCGTCCAAATATTGTGTGAAGTTCATTGATTTTAATTATAATTTTATTAATTTATAATTTTTTAAATAATTAATTATGAAAAAATGTATATCAGTTTAAACTCTTAAAAATAATTACATTTTCAATCTTAAAATACATCATTTTATTTAATTAAAATTTAATTCAAAATTTATAAAATTATCTTATTAAATATTGATATATTAAAATATATAATGAATTTTTAAATTTAAATATCAATATTTAATAAAATAATATTTTAATTTTTAAATATAAATTAAAACTCTTATTATTTTTAAAAATTGAAATGAATATGCATTAACTTCATTAATTATTATATTTAAAATGTTAATTACTTAAATAACTTAATAATAATTTTTCTTTCATTAAAAATAAAAAAAATTTAATTTTAAATAATATAATACATAAATAAAATAAAACAATCTTTTACCATATACTAAATATAAAATAAAAAAAATTTAAGAATGATCTTATCCATAACTGCAGAGGTTATGGATAAAAGGCACACCAACTCCAAGTTTAGAATAAGTAAAACATAAAAGGGTAAATGAATTAGCATTTATTTATTTTATTTTTTAAAAATTAAGAAAAAAATTATTTTAAAATTTTATAGTTTTAATGAAATATTATAAAAAAATAAAAAATACTCTAATTTATATTTTAAAAGTAAAATATTTTAATCATTTTTAATAAAAATTTATTGAACTGATATAAATTTATGATAATTTTCACTATAATTTTTAAGAAATAAAGTGTATAGATACTGTTTTCAAGGGTAAAATAGTCAGTTCGACAGATAGTTTTAATGGTTTTGCGTGGCAATAACGACGTGTCCA